ACAATCCTTGCATCCGTGACCTCAAACGCAGTCCATCAGCCTTCTCAGCTGGGAAAAAATAACCGGACGATGCAATGACGAGAATTCCTCGTCCCTCACCACTCCCGCGCCAGCTCCACATCCCCACAGACATGGAAGCGCCGCCCCAGCTGCTCCCAACCCATCTGCCGGCTCTGCGCGGTGGATGGAAAGGGGATGGAAAGGGGCCACAAAAAGTACGAGTAGTAGTATGAATACAGGTAGTAGTAGTACGGGTAGCAATGCGAGTATGGGTAATAGCACGAGTATTAGTATGATTAAAGGGAAGTTGTGCAAGAACGAGTAGTAGTGTGAGTATGGGTTGCATTACAAGTATGGGTATTATTATGAATGCGGGTAGTAGTACGCGTATGATTGGTAGTATGGGTAATAGTTTGGGTACTGGTAGTAGTACGAGTATGGAGAATAATAGGAGTATGGGTAATAGGTATGGTATGAGTACGCATAATAGTACAAGTACGAGTATGAGTAGTAGTGCAAGTATAAGTAGCAGTAGAAGTACGAGTAGTAGTACGAGAAGGAGTACGAGGAGAAGTACGAGTCCGAGTAGCGATGTGACCCCAAGTAATAGTATGAGCATTAGTAGTAGTATATGATATGAGCACAATTAGTGTTAATAGTACAAGTACAAGTCGTAGTACGAGTGCTATTATTAGTAGGAGTATTAGTAATAGTACAAGTACAAGTACCAATACGAGTATGAGCAAACAGTACAATTAGTAGTACAAATAGGAGTAGCAGTACAAGTACAAGTAGTAGTACGACTACGAGTAGTAGTATGAGTATGAGTTTGAGTACATGTATGAAAATGAGAACGAGTAGTAGTTGTAAGAGTACAAGCAGTAGTACAAGTACGGACAGAGGTACGAGTAAGGACAATGGTGTAAATACAGGCAGTAGCATGAGTAGTACGAGTACGAGTAGTAGTGTAACGTCAAGCGTCTTGGGGTGTAGAATCAGTCCTCAGGGGATAGTATACCCGAGACCGCTACACCAGTTTATTTAACCTGTAAAGTTTGTAACTTATAAGTAGCCTTTAAAAAAATGTTCCCCAAAACATTAAGTAACTCATTGCAATGTTGATCCGCACATGAAACAGCCAAATCAAAGAGACTGAAGACGAAACGTGGAAAATATCTCAGTGATCAGAAGACATTTATAGCAGTAACAGTAGCAGTACTACAACTATCTATAATATTATTGCTCGTACTAGTACTCTAGTACTACTCGTTCCCGTGCTACTACTCGTTCCCGTGCTACTACTCATGCCCGCTCTACTACTGCTGTCCATATTGTTACTAGCGCCCTTCCTACTACTCGTGCCAATACTACTAGTCATGCCTGTACCACTACTCATGCCCGTACTACTACTCATACTCGTACCACTACTTCTACCTGTACTATTACTTGTACCAGTACTACCACTCGTACCCGTACTACTACTTCTACACATGCTACTATTCATGCCTGTACTACTATTCCTACTACTACTCATTCTCGTACTATCGTTCATGCCAGTACTACTACTCTTGCTCATGCTCGTCCTAGTACTACTGCCAATACTCACACTTGTACTACTACTACTCACTTGTACTACTACCACTACTTGTACTACTACTCGTACCCATACTACTACTCATACTCGTATTACTATTACTCATAACCGTACTACTCGTACTCGTACTACTATTCCTACTCGCTCTACTACTTGTTCCCGAACTATTAGTACCCATATTACTACTTGTACCCGTACTCCTACTTGAACCTGTACTACTACCCATACTCGTACTACCATTCGTACTACTACTCATACCAGTACTGCTACTCATAGCCGTACTACTAGTACTCCTAGCTGCGTACTACTACATACGTACTAGTCCTGCTGGTACTACTATTCCTGCTGGTACTACTACTGGTACTATTACTCATGTCCATAATACTACTCGTACCCATACTATTACTCATACCAGTCCTATTACTAGTGCCAGTATTATTACTTGTACTGCAGCCGACCCTCGCAAATTTCAGCACGGCATACATCCCCCAGGCTGGGTCCAGGTCCAAAGCCGCGTCCTCGCACCTCGCCATCAGCCGCCTCTCGATGACTAATGCCGGACCTGATTGGTTGAGATGGTCAGCTCCCGGCCCTCCCAAACGGGCCGAGGTCAGCACTCCACGAGCCTTCACACTGAGCGAGACAACAGCAGAAGCTACTCCAAGCCTGCCTAGGCCTCCGCCGTCGGGGAGCCTCCGCCGCCCCCCCCCCTCGTCGATCTCCAACTCCACTCCAGCACCCAGCCATACCTGTGGGAACTCACACCCGCAAATAAAGCAACACGGTGTAAGGGATTTGAAGTCGGCACATGTTTGGGGTCCCATTCCCTTAACCATTTAAATAGTTTTAATATCCTCTTCACTGAGGACATCCTACCTCCCCTCGGTTTTCATTTGTCGGTTCATCGTCCCATCATTGGGAGCGGCGGTGACTTTGTTAATGAGAGATAATATAATTGAAAACTTGAAATATTAATTTAAAGTACAAAATGTCTAGAAATATTAATTTAAAGTACAAAATGTCTAACTACTAAAGTGACAGAATTTCCGTTGATTTTAAGGTTGGTATTAAACATTAACTAGACATACTTGATCTTTTCACCATATGAGGCAATAATAAGAGGTGTTAATTAGACTGCAAGAAAGATAGGATTTAATAATAAAAAAAAAAAAAACGGGAACAATAACAACAACGAAATGTAAACGTCATTCCTTTCTGGAGAACGCAATGACGTCAGTGCATGAAATTAAAGGCAAAGAAAAATGTATATATACACACAAATATATCAATAAAAGTAAACAATAAAAAGGAATAACGGAGAAAATAACTGCTATCTATACCATTTTTATTACCAAGTGCACTGAATAGAGCTGAAAAACAAGCGAAAATATTTAACCTAGTACAACACAATGAACGCATGACGTAAGTTGACTGTCACCTTCAATACCATTCCCATTGATTTTATGAAAGAAACGTGGTAAGTGACTAAAAAAAAAAAAAAAAAAAAAAAAACGTAATTTTCTTATATCTATGCACATGGCAAAAAAAAAAAAAAAAAAAAAAAAAAAAAAAAAAAAAAAAAAAGGATTGCATTTCCCATTTCCCCGTCTATAGAGTTCTTATCAGTCGTTTTCTTTCCTGCATATACGTCGGTTTTTTTATGATAATACAAATACAAGAAAAAGGGATAAGGGAGAGAAAAATTAGAATGACGTCTGAGGAATTCCTTGAAAACATTTATGGACATTTTTTCTACACGAGTATGATCTCAGACGCCGTGGGCTCAGCTTATATGATCTGCTATTTTGTGAGTCTCAGTTCTGAATATTCATCACTAAGTTTGTGGTATTTTTCCAATATTTGTACAAAGTATAGTTAATAAAGCATAAATTCAAAGTAAATCAGAATAGATTAAAGAAGTACCAGTAGTAGTACGAATAGCAGTAGGATTACGAGTAAGAGTAGTTGTACTAGTACAAGAAGTAGTACGAGTGTGGGTAGTAGTAGGAGTAAGGAGTAATATTACGAACACGAGTAGTACTAGAAATAACATTAGGCATATAGTAGAACAAGTAGTAGTATAAGTACAAGTAGCAGTACGAGTAGTATTATGAGTTGTAATAGGAGTATGAGTATTAGTAGGAGTAATAGTATGAATACAAGTAGTATGAGTACGAGTTGTGGTACAAGTGGTAGTTTGAGTATGAGTAGTAGTAGGAGAATGGGTAGTAGTAAGAGTTTGAGTAGTTGTAGAAGTATACATAATAATAGAAGTACTAGTAGTAATCGAGTACGAATAGTGTGAGTATGAGTAGTAATGCGAGTAGTAATAATAGTAATAGTGCAAGTGCGAGTAATGATAAAAGTAACAACATCATTAATGATAATGATGATGATAATAGTCGGAGTAGTAGTGCAAGTGTGAGAAGTAGTATGAATAGCACAAGTAGTAGTGCAATTAGTAAGAGTAGCAGTATGAGTATTAGTGCGAGTGCAAGTAGTAGTAGTACAAATAGTAGTACAAGTAATTCAAGTAGTAGCATGAGTAGCACGAGTAGTAGTGCGAGTATGAGTAGTAGTGCTAGTGCGAGTAATAGTACAAATAGTACGTGTAGTAGTACAAATGGTAAGAGTAGTAGTGCAAGTGCGAGGAGTGTGAGAAACACGATTAGTATGAGTAGAACTGCAAGTACAAGTAGTAGAAACAGTAGTATAGGTATTAGTGTGAGTGTGAGTAGTAATGTTAGTATAAGTAGTAGGACAAGTCGTACGGGAAGTAGTAAGAGTAGTACAGGTAGTAGTGCCAGTACGAGTAGCAGTAAGGGTAGTGAGAGTGCAAGTAGCAGTATAGGTAGTACGAATAGTAGTGCCAATATGAGTAATAGTGTGAGTGTGAGGAGTAGTACAAGTATGAGCAGTATTGTAAGTACGAGTAGGAGTGTGGGTATGAGTAGTGTGAGTAATAGTAGTAGTGTAAGTTCGAGTAGTAATACAAGTAGTATAAGTAGTAATGTGAGTAGGACAAATAGTACGAGTAATAGTACGATTCGACTAGTAGTATGAGTATTAGTGCAAATACAGGTGGGTGGTATGGACAGTTTTACAAGTACGGGCAGTATTATGAGTACAGGTAGTGAGTACATGCAGTGGTACAAGTACAAATAGTTGTACAAGTAGTACGAGAAGTAGTGCAAATATGAGTAGTACGAGTACGGATATTAGTATGACTATGAGTAGTGGTAGGATTAGGAGTTGTAGTACAAGTACTAGTGCGAGTGTGAGTAATAATGCTAGTATGAGTAGTATTACGAGTAGTGGTGTGGGTGCGATTAGTATTATGATTCCTGCAAGAGGGACTACAAGTAGTAAGAATAGTAGTACGAGTGATATTAAGAGTAGTATGGGTAATAGTACAAGTAGCCCGAGTAGTAATGCAAATACAAATAGTAGTGCGAGTACGAGTAGCAGCGGGAGTACGAGTAGTACTGGGAGTATGAGTTGTATTACAAGTAGTAGTGTGAGTAGCAGTAGAACAAATCAAGGCTGTAGGACGCGTATGAGAAGTAGCACGAGTACGAATGGAGAGTAGATAAGGATATCCACCAACATAGGGAACAATGGCCCTTGTGGAGTGCCTAATTCTGATTCGTCATCAACACTGTAGGTGCCTTGGTGCCAAGCTTTTGCTCTTATCAAAGATAGATATCCGTTATCCATACTATTTTCCTTTTCATCTTTTTAGACAATACTTCACCGATAAAAGGCGCTTGCCGTTAGCTTCTAAAAGAGCTCATTGAGAGAGAAACTCTGCCAAAGACGCTCTTGAAGTGCGCAGAGTTTACGGCTGTGTTCCTTTCCCCTTTCGAGATCTCCCTCCCCAAGCGCCTCCTCTTGGACAACGCCCTTTCCACTTACTTATAGGACGCGGGCTTCAGATGAAATGGTCATCCGCCTGCTGTAACAGTGTTGTTGTTGCTGTTATCTGTCATCATTACTTTTATTATCGTTATTATTATCGTTGTCATTTTCATTGTCATTACCAGTATCATTGTTAGGTTCTATATGATCTATATGTTCTTTACCATTATTATTATTGTTGTTGTTGTCGTTGTTATTGTTGTTGTTACTATGACTACTTGTCACCGGTTTTATCATTATCATAAGCGTTACTGTTATTTCTAGCATTTTTATTATCACTTCTACTATTATTACTACTGCTATCACTACTAGTACTGCTATCAGTATCAGTATCATTATTATAACTTTCATATTGCTGTTGTTAAAAATGTACAGTTAACAACAATAGCAATGTTTTGATTCGGCACAGAAGCAATAATATAAACAAAATAATATTACAAATGAGGTTATGTAAGTAACTCGATGAGCCGCTGACGCACGGAAGGAAGGTCGGATCCAAAACAACAACGAAAACACGCAGACAGCGTCATTCCTTCGACCAGACGTTTTTGGAGAAAGTGATGACGTCAGTACATGAGATAAGACGCAAAAAATAAGAAAAATCAATAAGATAGGTAATGAAAAGGAATAACGTGGAAGATAAATAAGTGATATTTATATTTGAATTACAAGGGAGCGGAAAAACAAGGTAAAATATTTAACCAAGTACAAAAGGAAGAACACTTGACGTAAGCGGACTGTCGCCTTCAATGTCAATCATTGTTTTTACGAAAGAAACGTGAAAAAGTGACAAAAAAGGAACTTTATATTATGCCCATGCATGAATATAAAGGATTGCATTTCCTCATCTATAGAATTCTTATCAATCGTTTTCTTTCCTGTATACGCGGCGGCTTTTTATGATAATACAAACGCAAGAAAAAAGATGAAAGGGAGAAGAGTTAGGATGGCATTCCAGGAATTTAAGTCCTTTCCAATTTTCCGACACAAGTACGATAATAATAATAATAATAATAACAATGTTAATGATAACAATGATAATAATAATATCGATGAAAGTGGTGGTGGTGATGATAATAATAACAATAGTATCGATAAAAGTGGTGGTGATGAGGATTATGATAATAATAACTATAATAAAAATAATGATGACAATAACAATGATGATAACAATAATGATAATAATGATGATGATGGTGAAGATGATGAAGATGCTGATAGTGACCAAACTCAGGAATCCAGTGATGACACCGCCCGCCCTTCGGCCTGGACGCATGCGCAGAGGCGGTGGTGAAGAGACGAAGAAAAGTTCAATCGTCGAACGTGAATCTCGACAGAAATGACGCAACAAGGAATCTGGAACAGGGAGACACACACAAATACCTTGCTACGAACGAGGGTAACGAGGTGCAGCATGCTGACAAGAAGGAGAAGGCTGAAAGGGAATGCTACCGGAGGGCACAGGCTGTCTCGAAAACAGAAATAAACTCCGCTAACAGGATAGAAGCACTCTATACCCTTGCATATGGCTTCAATAGCTATATGCAACTGGAACCTATTAGACAGCACTACATAGAACAGACACAAAACTCCGTAAACTGCGATTATGCAACAGGATGCGGCGCCCAGATCCAGATGCTGACCGACTTCATGTCCCCAGAAGGGAAGGGGCAGGGGCCTGACTCAGCCTGAACTGTCCTGCAGAACTACAGCAATTGGACTGCAAGAATATCCTGGAACTAGCGACGACCCGATGCTGCAATTAATAGCCCTTCGTGAGCAAGGAATGAAATTGAAATTGGGAAATACAAAATCCATTCTACTCATATACTGCTTTCATTATTGTTATTATCACTATTTTCTTTGTTATTATTATTATCATGATTTCTGTTATCATCATCAGAATCATCATTATTATTATGAATGTATTATTATTTTGATTATCATTATTATTATTATTATCATTGTTATTACTATTAATAACAGCGCGAGTACGAGTAGTGGCGGGAGTACGAGTACTAGTGTAAGTACGAGTTGCAGTGCAAGGACAAGTAGTAGTAGGAGTACGAGTAGTACTGGGAGTATGAGTTGTAGTACAAGTAGTAGTGTGAGTAGCAGTAGAACAAATCAAGGCTGTAGGACGAGTATGAGAAGTAGCACGAGTACGAATGGAGAGTGGATAAGGATATCCACCAGCGTAGGGAACAATGCCCCTTGTGGAGTGCCTAATTCTGATTCGTCATCAACACTGTAGGTGCCTTGGTGCCAAGCTTTTGCTCTTATCAAAGATAGATATCCGTTATCCATACAATTTTCCTTTTCATCTTTTTAGACAGTACTTCACCGATAAAAGGCGGTTGCCGTTAGCTTCTAAAAGAGCTCATTGAGAGAGAAACTCTGCCAAAGACGCTCTTGAAGTGCGCAGAGTTTACGGCTGTGTTCCTTTCCCCTTTCGAGAGCTCTCCCTCCCCAAGCGCCTCCACTTGGACGACGCCCTTTCCACTTATAGGACACGGGCTTCAGATGAAAGGGTCATCCGCCTGCTGTAACAGTGTTGTTGTTGCTGTTATCTGTCATCATTACTTTTATTATCGTTATTATTATCGTTGTCATTTTCATTGTCATTACCAGTATCAGTATTAGGTTCTATATGATCTATATGTTCTATATGATCTATATGTTCTATATGTTCTTTATTATTATTATTATTGTTGTTGTTGTCGTTGTTATTGTTGTTGTTACTATGACTACTTGTCACCGGTTTTATCATTATCATAAGCGTTACTGTTATTTCTAGCATTTTTATTATCACTTACTATTATTACTACTGCTATCACTGCTAGTACTGCTATCAATATCAGTATCAGTATCATTATATAACTGTTTCATATTGCTGTTGTTAAAAATGTATAGTTAACAACAATAGCAATGTTTTGATTCGGCACAGAAGCAATAATATAAACAAAATAATATTACAAATGAGGTTATGTAAGTAACTCGATGAGCCGCTGACGCACGGAAGGAAGGTCGGATCCAAAACAACAACGAAAACACGCAGACAACGTCATTCCTTTCGACCAGACGTTTTTGGAGAAAGTGATGACGTCAATACATGAGATAAGACGCAAAAAAAGAAGAAAAATCAATAAGAATAGGCAATGAAAAGGAATAACGTGGAAGATAAATAAGTGATATTTATATTTCAATAACAAGGGAGCGGAAAAACAAGGTAAAATATTTAACCAAGTACAAAAGGAAGAACACTTGACGTAAGCGGACTGTCGCCTTCAATGTCAATCACTGTCTTTACGAAAGAAACGTGAAAAAGTGACAAAAAAGAACTTTATATTATGCCCATGCATAATATAAAGGATTGCATTTCCTCATCTATAGAATTCTTATCATCGTTTTCTTTCCTGTATACGCGGCGCTTTTTATGATTATACAAACGCAAGAAAAAAGATGAAAGGGAGAAAAGTTAGGATGGCATTCCAGGAACTTAAGTCCTTTCCAATTTTCCGACACAAGTACGACCTCGGATGCCGTGCCCGCACTGCTACTCGAACTCGTACTGCTACTTAGTACTCGTGCTGTGACTATTACTCAAAGCTACTATTACTCGTCCTATTACTACTACTTATGGAACAACTCCTACTCCTACTTTACTCATACTACTCGTACTACTGTTTGTACTTGTACTACTACTCAAGCTCAAACTACTACTCGTACTCGTACTACTGTACGTACTACTATTTGTACTCCTACTACTATCACCACTACTCGTACTCATACTACTACCTGTACTCTTACTGCTACTCATACTCGTACTACTACTAGTACTACTACTCCTTGCAGTCCTACTATACCCACACTACTCGTATTGCTACTTGTACTTTAACTTGTACCATTAGCATTACTATTTGTAGTTGTAATCATACTACTACTAGTATTACTACTTGTACTATTGCTTGTACTCATACTGCTGCTCGTACTTGTACTACTACTACTCCTGCTACTACTCATACTTATACTGCTACTTATGCTCCTACTCCTTTGATATGAACAGGATTTTCAAAGATGTGATTTTGATTCCTATAAATCTCATGCTACTTAGAAATCGTACTACTTTGACTGGAGCGTTAGAAATTAGAAATATCTTCAATGATAAGGTGCAGTGGGTCTTCCAAATGCAGTTGTTGGTTACATCAATTTCCCTTTATTCTTTATTGACTGACTTTGAATTAATG